TCAGTGGTGAATTGTGTGAAATAGTGTGTATGTCCCATGCTACATGCCTAGCGAGCTTCTCCAGAACAGGAGAAGCACTCTTTCCCGGTGCTGGAGACAGGGCCATCCCGGGCCCATTCAGTCAGAACAGCCAGTGTCTCATTTAAGGCAACGAACATGCTTCTTCAGCTCTAGGCAGTGTGGAGGAGGGGAGGTTGTGGGGAGAAAGGGAAATTTCCCTTTGCATGAGCTTCTCCTTTGTATTTAAGAACTGCCCAGCAGGGCTGGGCTTTAAGTGAGAATCTCACTCAGTCTGTAATTTTCCATCAAATACCCCCTCACTGCATCTCGGGCCCCTCTCAGCACCTTCTGTGGGTTTCCCTTGATGGGGAAACCCAGAGTGAGTCTTGGTTCTCATGTTTGCCTCTGTGAAAGCACAGGTAGGCTGGGGTAGCTCAGGCCGAGTAGCTGGAACTCACACTGCAGCCACCCCCATGTTCACCTTGGGTGGTGTGGCCTGCACTGCTGCATCTGCCCTGTCCCCACATGTGAGGCCACTATGTGTTACCCCTGTAGCTTCCTACAGAGGGGACATCAAAGTCCATGCAGCTGTTCCAGAACAAAGTACCCACTCAGCCTCTCCAGGAAGGGGAGAGAGAACAAAGAGAATCAGACTAGGCAGAGGCTGAATCTCTGGCTCATTCATTCATTCACAAATTTTATTTCATGCCTACAATGGGTCAGGCTTTATGCGAGGACCTGGGGATATGCATGGCCCAGCAACCTTGTCACCTCTTCTTCACCTTGCAGGAGAGCAGCTGCCTTGTTTGATGGGGTCTCCCTTTAACGTAAGCCCTCACACACTCACACCCACCCTTACCCCTGCCACTGCCAACCCTACTGGGTATTCAGACCAACTGGCAAACCCCTGGAGGCCAGAGATCCCCATCTGTGTAAAAGGTGGGGTCCCTAAATTACCCAGAAAGCCTACCTAAGACTGAGCCATTTCTAGACTGGGGAGGGTCCAGAACAAGATGGAGTACAGTTAGGTAAATCAGTTATCTTGCTGCAGTGAGAACCATGAACCCCACTGAATCTTCTCGTCTTCCACCCCCACGCCTGCTTTCAGACCTGGTGCGGGACCTATTTCTTGAGCATCTAACTCAGGCTACGTATGTGTTACCCCATTTAATCCTCATAGGAGCTTTGAAATGCAGGAATTGTTAGCCACATTTTACAGTTGAGAACTTTGGGTGAATAGAAGATAACTGATGTGTCCTACAGCTATATGCTAGTGAACAATGGAGAGAGGATTTGAACCTGGGCCTCTCAGCTCCTAAAATTTGTGCTTGTTCCACTGCAGCATAGTGTTTCCCAGACTCTGAATATTTAAAGAGCAGGGGTCACATTTCATAACTCTTTGATTTTGCTTCTTAGCATTTAATACAGTGCTGGCTCAGAGTAGGTGCTCAATGTTTGCCAGATAGGTGGATGGATGGATGGATGGATGGATGTAACTTGAGGGGAAAAAATGATTTCAGTTTTCCCTCTCCTGAGAGGGCACTGCTCCCCCCGAACCAGGGGATAGACTGGGGCTTGGCAGACTGTCCTGATTTTCTTGGACAGCACTGCTGGTGCTGACAGGGCACCAGGCCCACAGGAGGCAGGGCTACCTCTCTCTTGTCTCCTAGCAAACATGCTTAGTTCAGTATATGTGTAGCCTTCTTTCTGGGGCCCAGGGCCAACCTGACACCTGCAGCCAGGAAGCTAGAGGACAGCAAGGATGCTTCTAAACTGGTGGGATTTTCTGTTTCTTTGACAACCCAATGCGGTGGGGCCAGAGCCATGGGAAGTAGGATAGATTTGTTTTCCCAGCGCAGTGCTCCTCCCCTGAGACCAACAGCACAATGATGTAAGTGTCCTTATTCCCACTTTACAGAGGAGAAAACAAAGGATCACAGAAATTAACTTGTCCAAACCCACAGAGCTAGAAAGTGAGAAGCTAAACCCACACATCAGGACTGCAAGCCTCTGGGAAGGAGTGTGCTCCACTGTCGGTGGTGTCTGAGGTTGCGAATATTTATCTGACGATAATGAAGGAGTACGTCTGTGTGCACATGTACAGATCTGAGACGTGTGCTAGGTCCAAGGTATGAGATCTGAGGCCCAAAGGCAGCACAGAGGGCTTGGTACATGATCAGTGACTTCCCTCTCTCCAGGGGCCCTGTTGGTACGTCTCCGGTTTCCTGTGCTTCTGGTCTCTCCATTCAGCTCTCACCCGCAGCAAGGCTCTCTTGCCTGCCTTTCTTCCTCTGCCATTCTTCTTTAACAGATGTGACCACTAAACAAGAGAGGGCTCCTCTTCCTTTTGTGTCTTCTTCCTCAAAGAACCATAGGATTTAGCATCTGTACTTCCAGGTGGAGAGAGCAAATGGGACTGACTAGCTTGCCCTGGCCACACTTCCCTTGGCTCCCTTTCCCCACCCTGCCCCAGGTAAGTAGCTTTTCTTGCACACCTCTGCTGTCACCCTTCTGGGTTGTTAAAAAAGATCCATCTCACCCACCACCCACCCCCTGGGTTTAAGGACCTCAGGGCTCACCTACTCACTGCCTCATTTGAGCCCTACAACAAACCTGTGGGTGGGTGGGTGGGGTGCACAGTATCACCTCCATGTGAAAAAAACCCAAAGACCTGAATTCCAAGTAACTTCCAAAAAGACACACAGCAAGATAGTGGCAGGTAAGGACTATAACCCATATCTCCAAATTCTTAGCCAACAGGTAAATTTCATACTATATTCCACCATTAATGCATCTCACAAGTGGGGTTCAAATCACCATTATTGAACTGCCCAGAACCCTTCCTGGGCCTAGCAGATTCTTGCAACTTTGATGAGATGGATGGATGGATGGATAGAGAGACAGGTGTTACCACCTAAGAATAGCTTTCCCAGACCACCTAATTTGAACCATCAGGTGCCTTGTATACCCCAGTTATTCTTTCTCATAGCACTTCGCTCTTTTCTTTCATAGCATTTGTCACAGTTTGTCACTTAAGGAACTGTGTCTATTTTTGCTCATATATCATGAACATACAGCCACATAGTAAGTGTTCTGGGAATGTTGTCAGATGGCTGGATGTGCCAGGTGCGTGATATCTCGAGTTTCCGTATGTTTCTCTAGCAGATTGATTTCTCCGGTCTCAGGACTCAGAATGAGCCTGGCATACGAGGTTGACGGGGTGGGGTGCCCACCCCGTCACTCTCCAGAAGGAAGCAGCCACAGCCAACAGAAAGCAGGGCTGCTGTCACTAACTCTTTACAAATTATTCCAGCAACAACAAAAAATCTAAATCTGAAGACTGGAAAAGGTTCCGGTGTTTTTTCCACTAACTTGCAAACAAAACAAAACAAATAAAACTCCCAGAGAACACTGCGCCCCCTGCCTGCAGTTCTGGGAATCACTGCATGCTGCCCTGAAACAGCACCGGAAGAACCATCGAACAGAGTTGGGGTCACAGCCACCAACGCCTTTACATGTTAAGGGGGCAATGCAGTTGTGTGTGTTCAGCTACACACACCTACACACACGGAGATACATATGTCCCAGCTCCACAGCTCGGAGGTGAGGCTGCAGAGACACAGCTGTGGCGTCCTCTGGGGCTCACTGACCCTGAGTAATTCTGGCTTGGCCATGCTCTTGGGTGTTCTTTGCAGCCTAGCCCTGACAATTTATCTGACAGCTCAGGCCCTGAGAGCCCAACTGTGGCCACGCTGCAGCCAGCATCTATCCTCTTAGCACAAAAGCAGGGTGATCCTGAGGAAGTGGGGTCCCTCTGCTGGCTGAGCTAGGGTAGTACCCTGCTTTGCCAGGGCTTTTTGCACCTGCTGCCTCAAGTCTGCAAAGCCAAGGCTGTCTGGCTCTTTATGCCCCTGGCACCAGGCCCTGGACAGGCCACACTGTAAGTGGCTTGACAGATGGGGTCAGGCAAAAACACAGCAAGGGAAACATTGGCAGTAGCCCAATTACTCTTTGTAATTGCTCATGTATCATGAACATACAGCCACATAGTAGGTGTTCTGGGAATGTTGTCAGATGGCTGGATGTGCCAGGTGCATGATATCTCCAGTTTCCACATGTTTCTCTAGCAGATTGATTTCTCCGGTCTCAGGACTCAGAATGAGCCTGGCATACGGGGTTCATAGCAGGTGACTGGCCCAATGGAGCCAAGCAGGACCCTCTGTCTCTGCCTCACCCAAGACATCACTTCTCAGACTCATAGAACTAGAGTCCCACTGCTAGCAGGGTGGACCCTTGGGCAGTGCCTATGGGGCTGGCCCTGGACACCCTTCCTCTAGTGAGGCTCGGGTCTCCTCCTTTGTTCTTCACTCTATTGCCTTTCTTGTCCCACCAAGAGAAGGAGGTGGTAAGGTACTCCAGTGGAAGCATGGACAGAGGTGTGACAGACCTGCCCCCTGAGCCCCACCACTCCAGTCCAAGTGCCTGGTCATGGAGGACTCAGCCTGGCCCCATCTCCCTTCTCTGCGCAGCAGTGCCCTCTGCTCATGGTCCATGAGAACTCAATGAGGGAAGGAGACGGGGTCTCCTAAAGCCTCAACTCTAAAGTGACGGAAGGGCGAAGGCAGCAAGGTAGAGGGGCAGGAACCAGGCAAAGCTGCTCGCAGTAAGCAGGAAGAACTTTGATTTAATGGAATGAAGGGTAAAAGGGGCAGAAGCCAAACAGACCTCTCAGCCCACCCACCAGCCCTCACCCAACTTCCTTGGCCCCTCTCAAAGGTGATGCTGTGGATACTGACATTCCACACCTGCTCAGCCACTGCTAGGGCAGGGAAGTTGGAGTGGGAGGCGCCCAGCTGAGCAGGTGGTTCCAGAATACCCCCTTTATCTAATAATCTACCCCAGGTGGGAGACAGAAAAAGCACAAAGGGACTGCTCCCGCCCTCCTTTTGTGCAGCTGTCCCCAGACCAGCCCCATAGGCACTGTCCAAGGGTCCACCCTCCTAGCAGTGGGACTCTAGTTCTACGAGTCTGAGAAGTGATGTCTTGGGTGAGGCAGGGACAGAGGGTCCTGCTTGGCTCCACTGGGCCAGTTCCTCAGCTGGGCACACAAGCTGGCGAAGTCTCTGGAAGGAGAGTTGAGGGGGCTTCCATGAGGCAGAGTTGGGGGTGGGGGTGGGGCATGCCTGCCAGTGCCCTCACCACCAATGTCTGCCCATCTCCCCAGACACCGTCACACCATCCAGGTGCCAGTCCTCCAATCCAAACCATTGTCTTGGAGGCATCCAGTCTCCTTTGGAGACTTTTCAGCACTCACTCTGTCCCTCCCTGACCCCCACACCAGGGTCACTGCCTCCTGTGCACCGGCTGCCTCCCAGGCAGGCAGCCATCTACCATCACCCCCTAGGGTTGCTCTCCACTAACTCCCTACCTCTCTGAAGGAGCCCTTGAGAGCGCTGAGTTTGTAGAAGCTCCAGATAGGAATGCAGACCATGGAGGACAGCGCCAGGAGCCAGCCCAGGGCATCCCCCCACCAAGGGTACGTGTACTTCTTGTTGTAGGTCAGCGGGGTGTACTGGACCAGGGAGAACAGGAAGGTGGTATGAGGACGAGAGCAGAAAAGAAAGGGGCTGGGAAGCAGGGTCCCTGTGCCCTCAGCGCCCTCTGGGGGAGCTGGCAGAGATCACACTCCAAGCCTAGATTTTCTTTCAGTCTCATCTAGGCCAATCAGCTTTCAATCTCCTTCACATTCTCCTCAAAGTCCACACACACCCCAGTAGGTGTTTCCAGGGCACCTACCCTGTCCCTCCCTGGGCTCCCGGGCCCCAGGCCCATGAGATCCTCTACACATGGTTGGCTCCTAATTAAGACACGACAGTGTACCTGCTGGTGCTTTCAGTTAAGTCTTTAAGTCGTCAGCATCATCAGGTGAGGGCACAAATACCTCAGTGGCAGAGGTTAGGCCTCACTTTCAGCCTGCATGTTGCGGGTGCTCAGGGGGACCTCAGACTCAAACAGAAAAGCCAGAGGAAGCTTCACAACGTGCTCTGGGTCCAGCTCTGGAGCCAAGTGGCCAAGGCTTGAATCTGGACCCCCATTCTCTCTACCTTGGATAAATTGCTAAACCCCTTTGGCTTCAGTTTCATCTGTGAAATAAATACAATAGTAATTTTTACTTTGTGAAGTCCTTAAGAGGATTAAATGGGTTAAAAGTATAAAGCACTTTGTAAAACGGTTGCTGTTATTACTGTGGTAGTTAACAGTGTCATTACGAGTGGTCCCATGCACCTGGTTTCCAGTCCCGCCTGTAACAGCAGGCTCACACTGCAGTGCTGGTCAAACACTCTTGACAGCTCCAACCTCAGTCTATCTTTCTGTGAAATGGAAAGGAAAAATCTACCTTGCTGTTATTTTTTAGAATCCAACAGGAAGATGAATGAAAATCTAAATGACTTTCAATGCCCACAGAGAAGTCCCTTCTCGGGCTAACAGCCTACCTATCCTCCTGCTCCACTATCTCTCTACCCCTTCACCTGGCTTCCCTCCCAGAAGGTTGTCTTACTGTGCACACAGCCGGTGTGAAGAAGAGCCAACAATATTTGATAAGAGGCCAAGGCCTGTTATCAAATCATATCTTCAATGTTGTCATACAAGTGCCCGGCTCCTACCACGAAGAGAAGGAAAGAAGGAAAAGAGACAAAAGACATCCTTTAGCACCCAAAGTATCTGGATGGGGCCCACACAGACCGGGCTGGGCAAGGCTCCCATGAGCAGAAGATATCATGGTTGTCTTTACAGATCTCAGCTGGAAGAAAGCTCTTCCCTGGGATGCAGGAGTGTCGATGCCAGAGGGCAGCAGAGGCACTGCCTTTCTGATTATGAAGGCTGTTATGAGTGAAAAGGCTTAGATAGGACAGGACATGCTGCGGTGGTTGAGGTGCAGCCATGGCCGGGAGGGTAGGTGAGGCAACCTCTAGAGGGCTCTTCCAATGGCAGCAATTTCGGATTCTTGAGATTTTTGAAGCTGGGTAAGGGAGAAGTCCCAAGAAAAGTTGGGTGTGAGCAGTAGATGTCTCTCTTTTGTCTAAGGGCCCTGGGACCGAGGTGAGTAACGAGGTTCAGGAGAGTCACTCACCATAGACCCAAGCCACACAGAGAGACTCGAAGATGGCAACAAACAGGAAGCACATGCCGCTGGCTGCATAGTAGTCAAAGAGATGAAACACATACATACCGCCCTGCGGGGGAAGAAATAAAAAACAGAACTTTATCCAGAGAACACAGACACATTTACCTGCTTGCTGGCCAGCTTCACACCCTCAGGGAGTAGAACAGAGTTGGTGGGATTACCACAGACAGATATTAGAATAGAAGGTAGTTTGTAAGTTATAAGGCACTAGGCAGATAGGAGGCAATAACTATTTTTTTATTGTTTCTGGATGGATGATAGATGAAATAGCCAGTGATGATTGGATTGTCCCTGAGAACATTTAGAGGATGACACAGAAATCCAAGATATAATATGTACTTTTTTTTTTGCCAAGATGCGGCTAGGACTGTCATTGCTATTGTGTCACCAAGATGACAAGCCCCAACCACCACCTTCCCCTTTGAGACCATCACACAGAACATCACCCATCCCCAGGGCTTTCCTTCTCCCTTTGAAGTTTATCCCTGGAATGTGGTGCAGCTGCCTGAAAAATTACGAGATCTTGCTGGAGAGGCAGTTTTTCTTGCCCAGAGACCATCCTTTCCATACCTCTTAGTTTAACATGGAGATGAGTTACCCCTCACCCAGCCCCAGAAGTAGGTGGTCAATTCCCAAAGGCCAGGGGAGGCACTTGCCTTCTTTGTACTTCCTGCAGTTGGGACAGGAGCTGGCCCCAGTGCCCCAAAGCTACAGCAGCCTGCTCCATCTGACAGGTGGCAGCTATCCACCTCATTCTGCCTCCTAACTCAGTCCTCACCTTTGAGCCTCCCAGACCCTCACCTCCGTGACCATGACTAGCCCAACAAAGAAGGAGACGACAGGCACTCCAAGAATGAGGGCCTCCCTTCGGTTCTTCTTACAGAACACCCAGGGGTACATGTCCACCAGCGCCGTCACTAGGCTCTCTACACACACGTACTGAATGACAGGACAAAAGGGTTGGAGGGAGGAGAGCTCCCAGAATCAGCCCCACCAGCCAGCTCTGGCCTGCTGCTCCTGGGCTCGGCCCTGCCAGGCTCCCTGTCTAAAGCCCCCCAGTGCTGTCCTTGCCCAGTTAGGTCTGAACCCATCCTCCAAAGCTCCTTGTGGTTCCTGGAAGGGCATTCATGCCTGACATTCCCCTGGTTCCCAGTTGTTTTAAGGTCCATCAGGGCATCGAGCTAAACCTCACACCCATGGCTCCCCCTCCCCCAGCCCCCACACACCCACTCATCTCTCAGCCTCTGAGTGGCCGCCTCTTGATATCTGGCTATCCAGTCCCAGGAGGGTTATCATGAAGAAGAAGAAGCAGGCCCGGAGAGTCGAGAAAGGCAGCATCGCCACTGCCTGGGGGTAGGCAATGAAAGCCAGGCCGGGGCCTGCAGCAGAAAGCAGAGGAGCACAACCCAGTGCCCGGCCTCACTGCAGGCCACATGCACCCCCAGCGTGGTGCTGTGGAGCAAGTTGAGGTAGAGAAACTCCACCCCAAAGTTCCTATCACACCACCATCCTCACCCAGGAGAAGCCACCCAAACCTCTTCCTGATCTCGAATTTCCAGGACACTACCCACAGTTTTCTCATTGGCAGGAACAGAACCTACAGGCTGTGTGTATAAAGGGCCTTGGAACACAGAAAGGGTTATATCACCCACATTTCTCTAAGTTGTACTCCAAATCTTCCAATCTCACTCTCCAGATCTATTGCCCCAAACCAGAGGTTTCAAACTGAAAAAGAACTCAGGGACCCTTGCGTATTTTTGTGCAGCGGGCCCAGGGCAGAGTGGGGGAGTGGTAGGGCCTGACTGGCACCAGCATGCTTCTCCACCAACCGTGAGTTCTGTGTGGTTTCTACAGAGGAGATGGTTCCGAAGAAAATACCCCCAAGACTGGGTGGTGCCTGGGGCTGCCAGTTGGCCACCTCTGCCCTGGGGCCCTTCTTGTCACCCTACAATGTATGAATGCCAGAATGCCTATTCTGGCATTAATTTCAGAATATCTCTGATACTCAGTCTCTCAAATAAATTAATGTTCCTCACAGCTGGCTTAAAATAGCAGGAACAGATTCACATGCCAGCACCTGGGTTCAGTCATATGAAGCTCCCTTTGAAAAAAGAAAAAAAGGTGTGACCCTGAGACCTTCAACAGTCCTTTACCTCTTAAAGCCATACTCCCCACACTGGTGAGGTGTGGATGGGACCAGCACCTGCTTCACAGTTGTCCATCGTATGATACAGGCAGAATGCTCTGCACAGTACCTGGCATATAGTAAGTGCTTAATAAAAGTGAAATAGTATCACTTTTAATGAGTCAGTGATGCCAGCTGCCCAGTGCTTGGCACTCTGCATAGCAAGGGTCAGCTTGTGAATGCTACGATAAAAAATTGCCTTGCTACAGAGTACAAGTGGATGGTCTGTGAGAACAGGAGAAAAGCAAGAGAAACACAGCTTACCTAGAGATGACACCAGTCCCTGATTGTAGTTAAAGGAAGCAACAAGATTGCATGGTAGAAAAGCACTCACTTAAAAAAGGAGGAAACTCTATGAGCCAATATAAACTTATCTCTGAGATACATATTACAGTGAGCAAAATGCCCTGACTGGTGTGGCTCAGTAGGCTGGGCATCATCCTGCATCCCAAAGGCCGCCAGTTTAGATTCCCTATGAGGGCACACGCCCGGGTGGTCGGCCGGGTCCCTGGCTGAGGGCATGAGAGAGGCAACCAATCAATGTTTCTCTCACACATTGATGTTTGTCAACTTCTTGTTTCCCCTCCCTTGCCCTCTCTCTAAAAATAAATAAATAAAACTTAAAAAACAATAAAGTGAACAAAACAAGTCAAGGTACAGAACAGTATATATATTATGTTATATACTGTACTTCAATTGGTCTTCAAAAAGGGAGTAAGAGCCCTGGATGGTGTGGCTCAGTGGACTGAGTGCTGGCCTGTGAACCAAAGGGTTGCAGTTCGATTCCCAGTCAGGGCACAGGCCTGGGTTGTGGGCCAGGTCCCCAGTAGCAGTGTGCGAGAGGCAACCACACATTGATGTTTCTCTCCCTCTCTTTCTCGTTCCCTTCCCCTCTGTCTGTAAATAAATAAAATCTTTTTTTTTAAAGGGGATAAGAAACAGAAATATGTACCTGTGTATAATGAATATGTATGTCTATACAGGTGTGTGTTTTTTTCTCATATATGCCTAAACTATTTCTGGAGGGGGAAACATGAACCTGATAACACCGGCGGCCTAAGAATATTGGGGTGGGAAGAAAACTTCCCACTGAAAGTAACTCCCCTAGAGTGAAGGCGACAGTAGAAAGACCACTGGAAGCTGGTTGGTGAAGGTTGGAAGCTCATAGAATCCACACTCTTGGGCCACCCCAACACTCTCCTGACTTGGCCACCTTGGAGATGGGCACCCCCTGCTCTTGGGACATGAAGCCCAGGATGGACAAGATGGCAAATCTGGCCACAAAGCTGGTGCCACTGTTGAGGAAGTAGAGGACAATGCAGTCCCTACGGGGGTGGGGGGGAGGTGGAAACAGGTCAGGAAGGGCTGCAGTGTCTCCGCCCACGATCTGGAGCCCAGGGCAGCCCCTGGGCAGCCCTGCCCCTCACAGCAGACAGGTCAGAGGCCACTGCCTGGCGGAGTGAGGATGAGCACTGAGGGATGGTTCGGCCCCCCCGACTCCACTAGCCCAGACTTGGAATAAATCAAACTGTTCCTAAAAGAATGAGGCTCTTAAGAAGTGAAATACTATCTAAAAATTACAAACTGCCACACATCCTCCCTGCTCCCGCCATATCAGCACCACAGCTTTGGGACACCATCGCTCGGACACAGTTTGGCGTGGCGTGCTAATGTCCAGGATGTAGGCCTGGATAATCCCAAGCAACCGATAATTCCTAGTTACCTAAATTTGATTCCAAAAGGTATGAGATGACACTTTGGACTAACATTAAAATTGGCCTAAGTTCTCTGATATGAACCTAGTAGGCCAAGGGAACCGTGGGGAGGGGACACCAGCAGGGGAGGGGTGAAGGAAAATGGGCAAACAGACAAAACAGGGCGGGCCGCCGAACCACATGACATGGCTGCTTACTCCCCAGGCTTGCTGACACTCCTGAGCCGATCACTCTACATTACCCAGGGCCCAGGCCGCCCCCCCCCCATTCCCCTGCCTCCCCCCACCCCCATTTGCCTGTGCTGTGGTGGGCCCCTTCCAGCAACTGGTAGCCTTGGAATATCCCAAGCAGAGCGAAGGGCGGGGTGGGCGAATCCCTGAGCCGTGCTCCCTCCACCTCACCCCTGACCCCGCAGGCCCAGGGCAGCTCGGAGAGGTGCTTAGTGGCTCAGGCTCCCAGTCACCTGTAGCAGTTGTGGAACTGCTTAGGGCTGTGAGGCAGCTGACGCAGATGGTGAAGGAGAAGAAGATCTGGGTGCCCCTGTCCATCCACACAGACACAGGGAAAAGGCAGGAAAGCTGCACCACAGGAGCCAGGCACCTGGGTTCTGTGGGGGCATGTAGGCCCGTGGTGGAGTTGGGCTCTGGTTTGCTGCAGCAAGAACCTTGCCCTCAGCATGTGCAGCCCCCTGCCGTCCCCGAGGGCACTACTCCCAGGGACCCTGGACGGGGTCTCGTATTAGGCGTGCGAGGAAGACAACTAAAGGACCCGTGGTGGAGGAGGGCGAGCAGAAATAGGACGCTCTAGAACCAAGCCGGCCTGGCCCCACGTTATCAAGGAAACAAAGCCCGGGTTCTGCCTCCACTCTCTCCTGGCCTGGGCTCTCCTGGTGGTGAGACCAGTTTGCCAGTTTGGAAGGAATCCAGAGGCAGGGTCTCCAGGGTTATGGATCCTTGTCAGTGCTATCAGCACATGTAGCTTTCCTCGTGCCTCACAATCCTCTGTCCCAAAACAGGAAGAGTAATCCTCCACTTGCAAAAAGTCAAGAGGAGGGTCAGAAATGCATCGGGAAAGGGCTTTGTACTCCTTGGGGGGAAGAGCTCTCCTGCTAAAATAGGCTATGCTTATTACTGTTATTATCTCAGTTGCCGACCCATGCTGTGCCTGTTATGATTTAGGTTTAACAGCTAGAATAACATCCTGGAGAGAAAGAGCATCAAGGCAAACAGGACTAGCAACCCTGCAGATCAGCAGGAAGTGGGTTCCCGGGGCTTCGGACCATGCTGAGCCTCCTGCCTCTGGAGGATGGGAGCTCCACAAGGAGCCCCAGGCTCTGGGTACAGGCAGTCGTTGTCCAACATTCCTGTGTCCCCGTTTCCTGTCTGTTGCCTGGCGCCACTCCAGTAGCCCCCACATAGGTGCCCACTTTCCTTTCACCGATATTGGGCTCCCGATGCCTCCCACACACCAAAGCCTCAGCTCGGGCTGTCCAGAGCTCCTACATCCCTCTTGTCTGTCCTGGCCTCCCTCACCATCGCCACCACCCTCGGCCTCACTTGCTGTCTCCCCTCACACTCACCCCGCTCAGCATTACCGTGGGCCCCAGGGACAGCCGGCAAGCTGGCTACATCAGAATCTCATGCATTCCTCCCCCAGCAGCCCCAGTTGAGATACTGAATCTTTAGAGCTAAAGGAGAACCCAGAAATCTGTATCGTGTTCAGAGCGTCCTGGCCAACCCTACTGAACAGTCAGGTGTGGATTTCTGCCTGAGAGCCCTGCCAGCTGGTGTCAGAGGCCTGCCAGGGGAACTCACTGCTCTTGTTATATTCCCCTGCCTGCAGGAATGGGAACAGAGAGGAAGAAGAGAGGAAAGGGGCAGAACGTCTCCAGCCTCCTGTCCCTCTGCTTACCGTGACTTTCATCCCAAGGAATTCTATGAGGCAGAAGCTGCCACCAAGGAAAACGGCACACCCAGAAGAGGGCAGGCAGCGAGAAATAGCATGCAGAGCGGAAACACCTGGGGATTTTTTTAAACTTGAGGGAAATTATAATGGAAAGGGAGGGGTCATCAGAATTTATTTCCAAAAAAAGGATAGGGTAGGAATGAAAAGAACTTACAGCAAGAATGGGGGCGTTTACAAAATTTGGTGCGATGCCACAACAGCTCGAGGAAGTGTTTTAAATAATTTTTTCTTCCAAAAACTTCGCCCCAGATACTACTGTAAGGATGGTCATCTCAGGAAAACTCACTGACCTCTGGTCTGAAGGTCACTCTCTTCTGTTTCCTTCCTGCTCACTCAGCGAGTTTCAAGCAGATCTGAGCCTGCTCCCTGGGGACTTGCTCCAGGGTCAGAGATATGAGTCCGGGAGCACTGCTCATCTGCCTGGGGCCTCTCTGCGTCCTCTCCCAAGCCCGATGTTTGCTCTGCGTGCCTGCCAGCACACAGGGTGCAGCTGGACTGCACTCCTACACGCCACCAGGGAAGCTGTTGAGTGCCCACATGCTGGCAAGGGTGCACAAGTCCTGTGATTATACAGTTTTGGGCTTGGGAAGGAAATTGTGATGTGGCAGTTTCCCTCACCCTGAGGGGGCCAGACTAAGACTGAGTCGGGAGTGGAGGGGAGGGGAGTAAGAGCAGAGAAAAACCCAGCAGGGGGGCTGGGAGTTCAGGGGACCAGGGTCAGATGTGTTGCCTCTGACTGAAGCCCCCTCACTGGGAGCTTGGCAAGGCCAGCTCTCCTCTGCACAGCTGCTGCCTGACAAGCCTGCTGGGATCAGCGGGTGGGAACAGGGTCAGAAGGGCTGAAGGAACCAGCAGAGCAAGTGGTCCTGTTCTCACAGCAGGAGACCCTGCCCACGCCAGGAACCCTGATTTCTGGAACGAAGCTCCAATGTGTGTTTGGCTGGGGCAGAAGACAAGTGTGGAAAACACTTGGTGGAATGTGGACAAAAAATATTCTCTGGGGGCACAGAGTTCTAGAAGGTCCAAAAAAGCCATTTTCAACTCTGAGTCCAACCCCAAAGATTATTACATTTTCCGTATTTAGGAAGGCATAGTGTATAATGGAAAAAACCTGGGCTTTGGAGTCAAAATGAAGTGGAGTCAATTACTAACTCTTAATTACTAGCTGTGTGATCTTAGGCAAGTCACTTAACCTCTCTGAACCTTACTTTTCTCATCAGGAAAAGGGGTATAAGAATAAATAAAATAATGTATGTAAAATGCCTAACACATAGCTAAATATTAGTTCCCTATCCCACCTTCTAGATAAATTTAAAAAACAGCCCTTAAAACTCTCAAATAATTCATATTCTTTGGAAAATGAATGTCATGGTGATTAAGACAGCAGACTCCAAAAGACTACTCAGGATGAAACCCAAACTCCCTCACATGCTGGTTTTATGGTTTGGGGCAAATTTCTTCAGTTGTCTCAGCTTCAGTTTCTTCATCTGTAAAATGAGGCTAATCCCTGATTCCCTGGGTCAGTGGGAGTTTACACTGTGTCATGCACTGAGTGGAGTGCCAGGCAAATGACAAGCACATGACCAGTGTGTCAGCTATTGCTGCCTTTGGTTTCTGAGTTATTTTAAAAAGCAACCCTCAGTGATGATGATGTCCCACAGATTTCAACACACAGTATCTAAATTAAAAGACTCATTCTCACTGATCGTGCCAACCTCCTCCCTAAATAAACCCTTCATTAGAATAGCTTAGCATAGAGATTTAAAAGTCCCAACAAAAGCTCTTTGGTTACCCCACCCCCAACCCCTGCCCTTACCAACCTGCCAAAGCACAGCAGGACAGGCAAAGGGAAAGACCCGAGCACCTGAACAAAGCACGCACTGCGTTGGCGGAGCCCTGAGTCTCCCGTGGCTGTTCCCCGTGTGTGAGAGACAAGCCCAGGGGACACAAGCACAGGCAGCAAGCCACCTGGTACCCAGAAAGGCTGGCAAAAAAAGAAGAGGAAACCAGATCACCCAGCATTGTCTCTGTCAGGCTCCCCACTCCCACACTGAGTCTTTGCCAAAGAGATGTCTTTGGTCTTCGTGTTGGCTAGCACAAATTTTGCTAGCCAACTACATCAGTTAGTGCTCTGGCCTGGGCAGCTCACCTTGCAGGGGTTGCTCTGCTCACAAGCAACAAAAGTCTCTCTTCAGCATGGGACTAGGACCAGGCAGCTAATGAGACAGGCAGCTGGAAAGCTCAGGAAAAAAGCCTGGCTCTTGAAACACAGTTGTCCTCACCACAGACTCAGAGGACTTGGAAGACATACTCTCTGCACAGCAGACAGCTGGCTATGGCTGGAAGGTCAGTATCCTGGAGGGGGGTTTAAAAGACGTCTTATTCCCTGCAGTAACCCAGACACAGAACTGTGGCCTTATTAACTCTCAGAGTTGAAAGCTGTCTGGACCACCAACTTTATATTTGCTGGAGGATACATACAGGTGGGGACTTTGACGTTAAGAGATCATAAAGTGCAGAATTTGTCATTGTCCAGACCTGGCTTCCAGGTACAGGTGTGAGGATGGAAAATTCTTTAAGTTCTCTAGGCCTTATTTTTCTTATCTACAACATAAGAACACCTCACTGATCTGCTGTGAGGTTAGCTGAACTGACGAAGTAAAACCTCTTAGTGCCAGGGACACCATAAGCACTCACTAGTTGTTAGCTATAAATCGCTGATCAGAACAAACAAGGCATTGATCACAGAGGCCGTAAATCAGTTCCAGAAATACTGTACCCTCTTTCCTTTTTGTCTCTCAGCCTACCTGCCCGTCTCTAGGCCCCTCCCCCTCCCCCTCCACAGCCTGACCGTTCCAGGCTTTGTGGCTGAGCCACACACTGGTTCACAGCCCTGCTGCTCCAGAACCACAGTGCTCCCTTTTATACGAGGCAGCCAAGTCAAACTCTATCCCTGTCCTTCAGAGCCTTCCCTCATCTCTGCTGCCCCACAACTCCTGCTTGCTACCTCTCCACCACAACCTATTGGTTCCAGATAAGCCAAAGGGTTTATGGTTCACAAAATAAAAATACCCTTTGTTTGGCCTGCCACTTGCTGTGAGACCTTGGGCCTCATTTGCACATCTGTGCAATGAGGAGTTCACACTGGGTGACCTCTGGAGCCCTTTGGCTCCAATGACTATGGCTCTGCAGTTTGACGTCAAAGCCTGACTACAACCCTGTGCCCCACGTGGAGATGACACACCAGCAACCTGTCTCACTGTTATATCTAAGCAAAGGGAGGGGAGAAGGATAAGCTCATGTCCCACCAGAAGATCATGGAGACACATCCAGGACACAAGGCTACTTGACTCCAGGAGGATGTTTCTGACGGCAGGAGCCTTGGCAGCCCTGGTAGAATCTCAGGATGGGAGACTGAGAATAATTGAGCTTCTAAATAGCCCCAAATTCGGCACAAAGGGGAACCATTACCTCTGCTGAGTCCTGGCCTCTGAGGGACCATGGACGTGTGAGCCATTCCATTTTCTCTTGCTCCATCTCAGTAATTTCAGTGACTGTGCTGGTACTTTACTTTTTAAAATGTTTGCACAGCCATCCACTTGTTCATCTTCTCTGTCGTGGGCACCTTCCACCCTCTGTCTCCTTAGGACACCTGGCGGTAGACAGAGAACCTTCTCCAGCACAAAGGAAGGCAGAGGCAGGGCCTGGGGTTGGGTAACACATCTTAGGGGCTCCATGGGGAGCTGAGCCATGCTTCCCATCCCTCGACACTTCCTGGCTTTGCCAGCTTTCAAAACGGCTGCCAACTACAAGATAAGAAACCTGTCAAAGGTAGTAGCTTCTTCTCTCAAGCCCTGCCTTGCAAATCCCTCCAGTCAGCAAGCAGCACTGCCAGCTCCTTGCGAGGGCCACCCAAAAGCTGGCTGAGGGGTGGGAAGAGGCTGGGGCCTCTGGACAACTGGCAGGAAACTCAACCCAGCCCTGCTGGTGCTGGCAGGAGCTGGAGAACTGGGCCTAGGAATGGGCCTCCTGACAGAGGGGCAGACCAAAGGGTGACTGGTGGAAAGTTAAGAAATAGAGAAGAAGCTAGGTGTGAAATAAGATTGCCAGGGAAAAAATGCAAAAGGGCATGAGTAGATGTGGTGAAAAGCGTTCAGCCCCTGAATAAAGGCTGTTAGTGACAAATTTACTGCCCCTGAGAAATATTACTAGGCCTCAGGGCCCCCTGGCTTTCCTGGCAGCTGTGAGCCAGGAAGGGACTGCAAACTGTGGCTAACAGATGTCTGAGACACTCCCTCAGGGATGGCACAAGAGCACAGGGAAGGCCTGTAGCCCAAGCACCTCCAAAGCCACGTGAAGGCCATTGTCTGTGGCTTCTTACCTGGGGATCCCACAGGTGTATGAAGTTTGGGTACAGGTAAAACTGAATCCCTTGGGCTGCCCCCGGCAGTGTCACCCCTTGAGTTAATAGGACCACCAGCATGAGGTAAGGAAATGTGGCTGTGAAGTACACCACGTGGCCAAGGCCCAGATGAGAGATAAAAAACTGGTGAGTCAGGAGGGAGGGGGCCCTCGGCAGTGAGGCAGAGGCAGGAGTTCCCCACCTGCAGAAGAAGCCGCAGGAGTGCATCTCCCCCTGCCCCTCCTTCCCTGTCTGCTCCAGCCTTCACAGCCTAGCTGCTGTTCAGTCCTGCCTCCCGTGTGCTGTGAACCCTCAGCCTAAAGTGCTCACCCTCCCCTGACACATAGGCAATAAATATTTGTTGAGCGACTGAATGGACTTAGGCATTCTCCCTACAGCCATGTTTAGAATTATGGCAAGGGTTGTTGGGTACGCGAAGACCTGCAACACTTGATCCCTGTCTGCACAGGGCTTACAAGCTCAGTGTGACCAGGCAGCCCAATTAGGAAGGAAGCCTTGTCAGAGGCCTCCAAGGCAACAGTCCAGAAGAACTCAGAATGCCCTCTTAACACCTCATACACTCTAGGCAGAGCCCCCCCAGCTTCTCAGATTGACTAGGAATCATTTTGAGACTGATGATCTTGACAGAATTTTTTTCCCCCAAAAATGTTGAACAAACTAGGGAGCTATGAACTGTGTTCATTTTGCGATATGCCCACATATGTGGTATATTCCAAGATCAATGTCCTCTAGAGGTGTCCACTGTCTCTCTTTCCCTCTCCCACTCTCTCTCTTCCTTTTAATTTCCCCAGAGACTAGAAGAATTTGAGATTGAACCCAGGAGAGGCACAGAATCAAGGAAGTCTTTGCTGGGTCATTCTCTCCCACTGACTAGGCTACAGCTTAGGGAACTCCCAGGGAACTGTACCCCCAGTGAGAGCAGGGAGTCCTGGGATGAGAGGGCCAGGAGCTCTCCAACATGAACCTTGCCCATGGACTTGACCCCCGTCCAGATGCAGAAGTAGCAGATGACCCAGGCGAGCAAGAGGCACACAGCTAGTTCCCAGCATAGGGCCCCCAGGTGCTGGATGCCATCAGATACCTGCAGGACCCACCTCCTAGGGAGAGAAGGTTGAGCTGGACTCCACTCTTGCTGCCAGCCTCCATTTTATAGCCCGAGTGTCGAGTGTCATGTTGCAGGCAGCAGAGCTCTTCCTGCAGGTTCTTGTCCAAAGGTTTGTCAGCTCTTTTTGCCTGAACCCATGAGGCTCTCCTTTGCCCAGAGATAGGGGTAGGTGTAAAGTGAGGCAAATATAAATTGTTCCCTGGTAAGTTTGCTCTGGGAGGTGAGTACCAATTTATCCTAGAGAAAGAGGTTCAAACACGTATTTTCTCAACCAGGGTTTTAGGATATTTTGATACTTGGAGTCATGCCCTAGACAAGGATCAGTATTGGGGGGAAGGTAAGATAAGAGACAATGTCCATGTAGCTGAAGAGGGTAGTTAGGTGTGTGGACACGCATGAATGTGCACTGTCTAACGTGTGGGTGGGCACATGGTGAAGAAAGGTGGGAGAGCTGCCAAATTCTCATCTCTGAAATCAGTTCTGTACTAACTACAAATACAGGCACAACTGAAAAAAAGCTCCTTCAGAGACAGGGCCACCAAAGAAGGCAACAAAAATTCTTCTCTTGTTATCCACTGAGAGTTACCACTGCAGGGACCCGCCCCTGCACCATTCTTTCCAGTGCACAGCCCACAGTGGGATAAAAAACAGGCCTCACTTACTCCCAGAACTCAATGACAGGAGAGGTAGCATTCTCAGAGGTCACATTCAGGGAGCCATTGATCCTCTGGAACTCCGCACAGTGCTCTACTCATGGGTCCCAGAGAAGGAAGCAAGAGAAAAATTATTAGCCAGTACTTAGTGTGAAATTTCAAAATGGAAGTAAGGTTTCTGGAAGGGACTGGGCTGAAGTTGTCTACACAAAACATCCTTAAACACACAGCCTCAACAGACCTACGTCACCTTCTCCCATGTGCTTTTATTCATCAGTTTCTAAATGTTTGAGGACATATTAAAGCACGATCAGATGGCATCAGGAAATATGCTCTGCATGCCATCTGCTTCAAAGTATTCAAATATTTCCAGGTAACTGGAAATATAAAGTCACCACCTCTGAGGAATGATAAGAAGCCTCCTAAGGAAGTTCCGCAGCCAAGTTGCTGAAGAGGAGAGGGACGGGGGCAAGAACACTCTGCCTGGCATCCTGCCCCTCCAGTTATTCCCAGTGAGTTTTTCAGCCTCACACCCCCATGTCTGAGATGGACAGAATGTCCATTGGTAGGACTGATAGGGGATTAAGTGCAAACACATCTGGAAAGTACTCAGTAAGTAGTGGCTCTTAGTTACCTGAACATGACTTTGGAGTTTTACAAAGAGTGTTCAGAGTGTTTTTCACATTCTATAGGTAAAATACTATTCAAAAATATTAGGACAGCTAGAGTTTTCCCCATTGTATACATCAAGAGAGCGAGCCTGCTTAGCAATGGCCTGTCTTAGCTTATAAGTGACAAAGCGAAGGAGGGCTAGAATCCAGTCCAGTGAGTCGCATATGCTCTATCTTTAAAATATGAAGACCTTTCTCGTCATCATCACCACCACCAGGTGCAGATCACCATCATCTCCGGTCACCCCGACAGGCTTCCACTCTCTATTCTTGCCTCCCTAGCCAGTTCTCCACACAGCAGTCAGAGTGATATGGTTAAAATTTAAGTCATGTTCTGTGTCACACCCCAGTGAAAAATTCTCCGATGAGTTTCCCATCTCACTAAGACAGAAAAAGCCAAAACCCCTATAATCACCTCCCAGGCCCTATTCACCTCTGGCCTCACCTCCCCCTGCTCCTTACTCACCTGCTCCAGCCACTTGGACCCCTTGCTGGCCCCTGGGTGCTACAGGCTCTGGGTGTCCCTAGGGCCTTTGGCTGGGTGTCCCTTCTACCCAGTGTCTGTCTCCCGGTGTCTCAGGGGCTCACTCCCTACCCTCCTTCACAGCATTACTTGTGTCATCTTCTCAGCAAAGCCTTCACTGATGACCCATTTAAAATTATACCCCCCAAAACTCCCCAAACCTCCTCCTTGTTTTATTTTTCTCCAGAGCGTATGTTTTCTTCTAACATGACACCTGCTACTCATTTATTTTTGTTTTTGTTCTCTCTCCTGTCACTAGAATGACAATTCCATGCAGGCAGGGACCTTCGCTTTTCTGTATTACCACATCCCAGGTTCTTAGAACAGAGCCTGGCAGAGTTGGAGCTCAACAATATCTGTTGAATGACAATGACAGTCGAGCACTCTTTTCACTAGACATGGCACTTTCCTTGAAGCTTCAGCACACCAAGAAAAGTGTTTCATGTTGACAAGACAGGGTGCCCTAAGCAACTCAAGATGCTAGAGTCGGAGTAAAATCAGACTCACTAGGAGAAATGTCCAAAATGTCACAAAGCAAAAGACTTGGCAATGCATTTGCCTCGTAATTCTCTCAGAGATAACCCCACCCCAATCAGCCTAGAGGCAGGCTGAAGCAGAAGTCCTGGGCCACTAAAACCTCACAGTTTTACAAGAGGAACTCCACTGAGATCTGATAAAATCACCATCTGACAAACTGGTTGTCAAGGGTGATTTCAGTGCCTGTAGATGGAAGGAAGGAAGGAAAAAACAAAAGAAGAAAGGAAATGATGAAGAACTGGAGGGAGGGAAGAAAAATATATAAAGAAAATATTAGAATGTAACATTTTTTTATTTTTTTAATTTATTTATTTTTTAAATTTAGTTATTTTTCAAGCACAGTTTTTTGTCTATTTCTCCCATCCAAGCCCACCCCCCATGCCACGCTCCCCACCTGCCCCCCTCCCCTACCCCCCCAGCCCTCGTCCCTGTGTCCTTCCTATTTGTTCCTCCAAATCCCTCCCCTTTTTCCCCCTTAAATTCCCTTCTCTCTCCCCTCTGGTCACTGTCCCCTTGTTCTCTATTTCAGTGTCTTTGTTTTTATTCTGCTTGCTTGTTCCTTTTGTTGTTTAGCTTCCTGTTAAAGGTGAGATCATATGGTATTTGTCTTTCAACACCTGGCCTATTTCACTCAGCATAATGCTTTAGAATGTAACATTTTTAAAACTTAATTCATCCAACATATAGTTTTGAGTGCTTATGATGTAGCCACCACTGTGCTGTGCACAAATGTTGTAGAGGTAAAGACATATTATCTGCCTTCAAGCTCTTGCTGATATGTGGGAAAACCAGACTGACAAACAGACAAAAAATATGTAGGTGCCACAGGGGTCAGCACAGGTAGTGCCAAGAACCTAATGCACCTTGGGGTGGCAGGGGAAGTACCTCCAAGGTTTCACTTTTCATTTTAAAAATGGTGGCATAGATCAGACGGGGAACGCCTGGAAAGGGAGTATAAAGTTTGAGGGCAAGAGGGGCCTTGAGTATGAGGCTAACCATTGCTGAAATGCGCCTCCCTGGCCAGGAAAAGGCTCAAACTCCAGCCTAGAACTGAGTGACTTATTTGAACAGGAAAAGTAAATCCTGGTGCAGGTAGAGCCTCACTGACAGGCCCTGAGAGGTATGTGGGCCATGAGCACAAGACATGGTGCTGAGACTCCAACAGGACATGCATCCAGCATGCTCTTCATCTGCGCTGTCCAAAGGGTGGTCACCAGCCACATGTGCCTCTTTATGTTTTAATTAATTAAAATTAAATACAAATTTTAAAAATTCAGTTCTTCGCATGTACTAGCCACATTTCAAGTGCTTCATAACGTTGGCTACCATTTCAGAGAGCACAGCATCACAGAAAGTTCTCTGGGATAGTGCTACTCCAGGTATTTTAAAATTTTTATTGCTTTAGTGTGTTAGACTCAGCAGTTCTATTGCCACAGGTGGCTCCTCTAGTCCTACAGGCACAGGAGAAAATCAACTGCTATTACAAATGATATTGATGACATACCAGACAGCTTTATTCCCTGGTTAAATCCAGATGAGTTCTGAGTTGGAAAGACCTAAAATGCTATCAGAGAGAAGGCATGAGAAACAAAAAAATGAACAGACTATATATATTTTGCCTGTGATGCTGGTGAAATCTCACTTTTATCTGGTGTAAGACCTCCTTGATTCACTGGGCAAATTTCTAGTGAGTCCTAAATGATGGCCGGGAAGTTGGTGGCCTGGGATACAGGGACAATCCCAGTCCTGGCACGTGCGGCAGAGCAGCAGGGGAAAATGAACTCGGAGGTGACCTCACCTGTATTCCACTTGTGGCGGCAGCTTCTCCAGGGAAGGTCGATGGTGAAGCTGCTAAAGAGGTAGAAGAGGGCCCAGGCCAGGACAATGATGTAGTAGGTGTTGAGGAGCAAGAGGATCATCTAGGAGACGTAGCCGATGCCTGCAAGGGCAACAGGCAGACTGAGCTAGGGACAACAGACAGATTTCTCACACACTACCCACCCCTGCTTAGGGAACGGTTTCTGCTCCAAAGTTGGTGTCTTAAAACAAGAAGTGCTGGAGCCTGGGCGCCGGCTCTGTCCTCTGTCTCCGCAGCAGGCAGTGTGCTGCGTGCCCCCACAGCCCTTCCCAGGTTGGGAGGGGACCTTTCTTCCAGCCTTCTGCAGCCCTAGCCTGCTTCCTATGCATGTCATCCTGATTAGGTTCTGTAAGTTCACTAACCCAACGTTATTTTTAAAATGTGCAGACTACCTCCAAAATTCCAAGAGTTAAATGTTCCCTGAATGTAGTCTGATATATTTCTGAATATAAAACCACATGTTAAGAGCAGGAAAGAAAATACACATAGGAGAAAATACAAATAGAGCCTTCCTAATAATTAATTTCAGGTGTGCAAAATCAAACACTAATGAGGTACCATTCTACACTGACAGCCTGAGTGGAACTTTTTACAAATAATATAACTCAATAAATTTTAAACTTTCTTCACATTAGAAACACCTGAGGATGTTTTTAAAATTCCAGAGCCTGGACCAGACCCCAGACCAATTAAATCTCAGGATGTTTTGAAGGTCCCCAGGTAGTTCCAATATCAGACAAGTTTGGGAACCACATTATAACTCAGAGTTATTAAAGACAGAAAGGAAAGATACTTACTCATGTCTAGTGACATTGTAAGTCAGTTAACACTTCCATGGGACAATTTATTTTATTTTATTTTTTTTAAGTTTATTTTTAGGGAGAAAGGAACGGAGGTAAGAAGACAGGGAGAGTGACATCAATGTGAGGACAAACATCCATCGGTTGCCCCTCATACGTGCCCAGACTAAGACCAAAAGTCATATGCCCTGACCGGGAATTGAACCAGCCTCTTCTAGCTTTGTAGGATAATACTCAATCCACTGAGCCACACTGGTCAGGGCTCCTCAGGATAATTTAATCATCCATACTGATCAAAAGACATCAATTTTATCATTCATTCGATCCAGTAATCCTAATCCTGCAAATTTGTGCCAAAGAAATAATTTCCAAAAAGGCAGGAAGGATCTATCTCAACAAATATACATAATAGCAGAATATAACAATTTTATAAGTACTTGAACATAAGAAAAAATTAAAAAACAAAGAGTTAAGTAAATTATGATATATCTACTTGATTGAAGTTTATATAATCATTAAATAATTGTGTAGAAAATGGAAAATAACACTAACTGTAAAACAGAGATATAAACTATGTATATTCCGTATTAATAGATATGTAAACCCCATATAGACAGAAAGAATGAAATAAATAAATCCCTCAAATTGTAAACAATCCAAATACCCTTCATGGGGTGGATGGTTAAGTAAACTGTGATCTATCCGCACCATGGAGTAGTGTTCAACAGCACAAAGGAATGTACTATTGACACCAGAACAGGCTGGATGAACCTCAAGGGAATCATGCTGAGTGTAAAAGCCAACTTCTAATGATTATATTTTGTATGTTTCCATGTATATAACATTCTCAAAATGACAAAATTATTGAGGTAGAGAACAACTTAGTGGTTGTCAGAGGCAGGGCCGGCGGGGAGGGGTAGTGTAACTACAGAGGGTAGCATGGCAGAGATATTTGGGTGACGGAACAATTCTGTGTCTTGATTGTGGTGGTGGTCACACAAATTCATGCACACAGAGAATTATACACATGACTGCAAGGGAAAGTGGTGAAATCTGAGTAAGTTCTATGGATGACAGTACCAATGTCAATTTCCAGGTGGTGATACTAATCCATAGTTGTGTAAGATATTACTATTGGGGGAAATTGAATGAAAGGCACACATGACCTTTCTGTACTATTTTTGCAACTTTCTTGTGAATATATAATTATTTCAAAATAGAAACTTAAGAAAATCCTACATAGAAAAAATATTAAACTAAAACACCCTAAATTTTAAATAGCTGTTGTATCAAGATGTTAGGATTGTTAATGATACTTTTTTCACTTAAAATTCTCTTTTAAAATGCTTTATTTTGAAAATACAAAATCATTGTTATATATTTTAAAAATATATAGCTAAAATAGATTTGCCCTCAACTTATTTAACTTAAAGCCTTTGACCCATCCTCATCACCACCTTCTCCATTCTCTGATGGACTGACTGGGTGATTAGCTCAATATTGGGCTCATAAATGAAGGTTTAACATAAAGACAGAGTCTTATCTCAATAAGCATGATTGCTAAACCACTCAATCAATTCAAGTGAGGTCTATAATCCCAAGTGCAGATACCCTGGAATCAGGCATACAGCTACTCACCCTCAAAGATGGGGCAGATCTTCCTCCAGGCTGTGATGCTTCCCTGGCTTGTGTACTGACCCAGTGCTGTCTCCAAGAGGAAGATAGGAATGCCACGGGTAAAAAGGAAGATGAGGTAGGGGGTGAAAAAAGCACCTGTGGGTGGGAAACAGGCTGTCCATTACCTGCCACTAGCCTCCTCATGGTCCACAGTTGTCTTTTCCCATTTCCACTCCATACAGCCCATCAGAATCCTGGGGTGGGGGTCATGAAAAACTGCAGGTGTCTGGGACCACAGCCCAGATCAAGAGTCACCAATTTACCTAGAACCTAACCAGTTCCCTTTTTTTTCCACTGGAAGTTTCAATCTATACCTACCAAGGTTTGTTCTTCATCAAGCATCAATTATTGCCTAAATAACACATAACTTGTGGCAATAAAAATGAGCTCATTGAATAATGGATATCTAGGAGCATTAACACAGCCCATAGACCATAATTCTTTTAGAGGAAATGGTTGCTCTTAGTTTTAGAGCAATCACATTTTTCTTTAGTAATTTTTTCTGACTTTGTTTTCACAATCATTGGATGAGACAAGTCTACTGATGCCAGAAGTGCTAGCGTTGTCCCCACCAAGGATCTTTATCTACTGGGAAAGTAAACAGGGGAGTTCACAGAGTGACCCTCCTCTCATCACTGTCAGTTTGTTCCTTGTTTCCATGTCTCCTTTCTATTTTGCTAATTTGTTTATTTTGTTCATTAGTTTCCTCTTGTAGGTGAGATATGTCATTTGTCTTTCGCTCCCTGGCTTATTTCACTTAGCATAATACTCTCCAGTTCCATCCATGCTGTTGTGAAGGGTAGGATCTCCTTCTTTCTTTCTGCTGTGTAGTATTCCATTGTGTAAATGTACCACAGTTTGTTTTTGTCCACTCATTTACTGATGGGCACTCAGGCTGTTTCCAGCACTTGGCTATTGTAAATAGTGCTGCTATGAACATAGAGGTACATAGGTTCTTTTGAATTGGTGTTTCACGGTTCTTATGCTATATTTCCAGCAGTGGAAACACTGGGCCAAAAGGTAATTCCATTTTTAGTTTTCTGAGGAAATTCTATACTGTTTTCCCCAGTGGCTGCACCAGTCTGCATTCCCAACAGTGCACTAGGGTTCCCTCTTCTTATTTGCTTATGATTTCCATTCTGATCAGTGTGAAGAGATATGTCATTGTGGTTTTAATTTGCATCTCTTTGATGGTTAATGATGCTGAGCATTATTTCACATATTTATGGGCCCTCTGTATGTCCTTGGAGAAGTTGGATAACCACATTTAAATGTAAGTAATCTAAATATTCCAAATAAAAGATAGAAATAGATTGATTTGAACAATAATAAAAATTTTAAAAAACTAGCAAGAGTCAGCTATATGCTGCTTAGAAAAAATGCACTTTAAATATCAAGACATGAATAGGTTAAAAGTAAAAGGATAGGAAAAATTTTACCATGCTAATACTCACCAGAAGAAAGCTGGAGTGTTTGTATTAATATAACACAGTGCAGAGTTTGGAGCAAAGAATATTACCAGAGGTAAAGAAGGTCATTTCATTATGATAAAGAGGTCAACAAGAGGACATATAATTCTACATGCACATGTGCCTAATAACAGAACTTCAAAATACATAAAGCAAAAATGCTAGAACTGCAGAGAAAAATAGTTAAATTTCTAATTAAAGTCTAACATTTCAATATCTCTCTCTAAATAACTGACAAAATAAGTAGATAGAAAATAAATAAGGATATAAAGTATTTGAAAACCATGTCAACCAACTTGACCTACTTGACATTTATAAAAAACTGTACCCCCAAACAGCAGAATATACATGATCTCCAAGTAAACCTGAAATATTTACCAAGAAAGACCATACTCTGGACCACAAAATAAATCTCAATAAGTTTCAAAGGATTCAAGTTATACAAAGTATATTCTCTAACTAAATTAGGAATCAATAACACAAATACACTTGGAATATTTTCCAATATTTAGAAATTAGGTAATACACTTATAAATAGCCCCAGTTATAAAGAGATAATCAAAACAAAAATAAGAAAATATTTATCTTTAGAGGGGAAGGGAAGGAGAGAGGGAGAGAAACATCAATGTATGGTTGCCTTTCATGCATCCCCTGCTGGGAACTGGCCTGCAGGGAACCGGCCTGCAACCCAGGCATGTGCCCTGACTGGGAATCGAACCGTGATCGTGTGGTTCACAGGCCCGCACTCAATCCACTGAGCTACACCAGCCAAGGCAAGAAAATATTTAAATAAAATGAAATGAAAACACAACATATCAAAACTTGTGGGATAACACTAAAGCAGTACTTAGAGAATTTATAGCATCAAATGTTATTATAAAATAAAAGTCTCAAATCAGTAATTTCAGCTTCCATCTTAACAAAAATAATAGTAAATGCAATTCAAAGTAAGTCAAAGGGAATAATAAGAATCAGAGTAGAAATTAATGAAATAGAAAACGGAAACTATAGAGAAGATGAAGGGAAAAAAAGCGGATTCTTTGAGATAATCAATAAAATTGATAAACTTCGAGGAGACACAAATTATCAGTATGACAAATGAATAAGGTATCATCAATACAGATTTTATAGGTACTAAAAGGATAATAAGAAAATATGAGTAACTTTATGTCAATAAATGTAATAATTTAGGTAAAATTTCTCAAAAAATACAAACTACCAAAGCTTACTTGAGAAGACATAGATCATCTCAATAGCTTTATTTCTATTAAAGAATTTTTTTGGTTATTGTTTAAATATTCTCTGAAAGAAAACTCCAGGCCCAAGTCACTTCACTGGTGAATTCTCCAATCATTTAACAAAGAAATAACACTAATTCTGTACAAATTCTTCCAGAAAATTTAGAAAAAGGAATGCTTCCCAATTCATTCTATGAAGCCACCATTACCTGATAACAAAAGCATACAAAGACATTACAAGAAAGGAAAATGACACACCAATGTCTTACATGAGCATAGATTTTAGCAATCTATGAATTGCTCATAGCAATTCTATGAGCATAGAATTCTAAACAAAACTTTAGCAAATCAAATCTAATAATATATAAAAAGAATAATACATTTTGTATTGGAGTTTATCCCAGGAATACAAGGTTGTTTTAACATTCAAAAAAACAATTAAAGTAATTTATAATATTAATAAATCTAATGGCCATTACTGTAAAAAAAACCAAAAAACTCTCAGTGCATGATGAATAGAAGGGAACATCCTCAACCTGATAAAGGGTATTTACAAAAAACCCACACATAACATCATGCTCAATGGTCAAAGACTGCTTAACTCCTAAGATCAAGAGCAAGAAAAAGGTGTTTATTCTTACCACTTTTATTAAACATTGTTTCTATAAATATTGATTCTAGCCCAGGCAAAAAAAGGCAAGGAAGAAATGAAAAGTTATTCTGATTGGAAAAGAAATGAGACTGCTTTATTCTCAAATGGCATGATAGTATATATATATAAAGTCCTTTGAAATCTAAAGTAGTCAAACTCATAAAAGCAAAGAGCAGAATAGTGGTTACCAGAAGCTGAGAAAGGGGAAACAGAGAGGCAGGCATTGGTCAGAGGGCAGAAAGTTTCAGCCATGCAAAATGAGTAAATTTTAGAGATCTACTGTGTGTCATAGTGCCTGCAGTAACACTATTTTATCGTTTTCTTAAAAACTTATTAAGAAGGTAAATTTTATATTGTGTTGTCATTGCACGCACAAAAAAACTGAAGAGGGCAGACAGAAACTTTTGGAGGTTATAGATATTACTTTTAAACTCATCAAGCTGTATACAGCAAATATGTACAGCTTATTGTGTGTCAGTCATATCTCAATAAAGTGTTTTTAAAAAGAAAGGAAAAGAAAAATCCTTTGAAATGTACCAAAGAGCTACTAGAACCAATCAGTCAGTTTAGTAAGTTTGTAGGATACAAGATCTCAGCCTATGAAGATCTACTGTACTCCTATATACTAGCAACGAAAAAATGATAAATTCAGCCTTGGCTGGTGTAGCTCAGTGGATTGAACGTGGGCCTGTGAACCAAAGGATCGCAGTTTGATTCCCAGTCAGGGCACATGTCTGGGTTGCAGGCTAGTTCCCAGCAGGGGACACACGAGAGGCAATCATACATTGATATTTCTCTCCCTCTCTCCTTCCCTTCCCCTCTAAAGATAAATAAATAAAATCTTTTAAAAATAATAATTTCAATTTAAGAAATAAAGTCATTCATAATAACATCAGAAATGAAATAGGAATAAATCAGATCAAAGATATAAGATATGTACACTCAAAACTGTAAAACATTGCTGAGACAAAACAAAAGACCTAAATAAACAATGAGGCACAGTTTCCCTCTATTCATGGGTCAGAAGATTCCATATTACCTATATGTCAGTTCTTCCCATGTTGATACACTGCAATCCCAGTCAAAATCCTGGAAAATTTTTTTTCAGAAATTGACAAACTGATTCTAAAATTCATATGAAAATGCAAAGGAAATAAAATAGCCAGACAACTATGAAAAAGAAGAAATAAGTTTTAGACTGAACTCTACCTTATTTTTAAATTATTATAAAGCTAGAGTAATCCAGACAGTGTGGTTTAGATGTCAAAATAAACAAATCAGTAGCACAGAGAGAGTCCACCAACACGCCCACATGTACTTGGACAACTGATTTTCAGCAAAGGTGTAAGATGAACTCATTGAAAGGGGCAAAGGTAGTCTTTTAAATAAATGATGCTGGAAAAAGTGGATATTCATACACTAAAAAAAGTAAATAAATAAAATTTGCCCTGACTGGCGTGGCTTAGTGGGTTGGGCATGTCTCTACAAAACGAAAAGATTGCCAGTTTGATTCCCAGTCAGGGCACATGCCTCTGTTGCTGGTTCAGTACCCAATCAGGGCACATACAAGAGGCAACTGATCCATGTTTCTCTCCCACATCAGTGTTTCTCTCCTTCTACTCCCTCTTTCCCCACTCTATAAAAAATAAATGAATAAATCTATCTTTTCAAAAAATGAACTTTAATCCATACCTTCATTATACACAAAAGTTATGACCTGAAATGAATCAGACCCAA